GCCCTAAAGAATAAGGGGGAAGCCTTCCGAAGGATATGGGAACCGCTTATTGACCTCTGACACTACCATGTCATCATAGGGTTTGGCTTGTTTCCATAGCATTCACAAAGGACTGTGAACTGGGACCATGGACTGATTTGATTTAATTTGCTGTATTTATTTATTTATTTATTTTTATTTTATTTTTGTTTTTGTTGTTGTTTGTTTGTTGTTTTTTTAAGGCTGTCACCGTGAAAGCTGAACACAACTCCTGTACATTTTCATGTTGTCCCACTTTGAGTCTGAGTGGCGTCATACAGAGGAAGTCACGCTTCTGCTGAGAAGGATTTTCTGATTGAAGATTAGTCCGTCAGGCTGTCCTGCTCCAACATTAGGAGAACAGTATGCATTCATCTTTGACATATTTGACTACAACTATGCAGAAACTAGCACATGGCTGTTTGGATTTTGTTTTCTTAGTGCACTTCTATAGCAAATGAAGGAATTAAAATACAGCAAAAGTATGAGTAACTGAGGTAGTATTCTCGTATGACATTCTTATGATACTCACTAATATTATAATCGAAACTCTCCTGTTGTCTAGCAAATTATGCTTAGCATGTAACCACAGAACTGTAGTTAGGATGCACTGAGAAAGAAGTAAATGGAAATTGTCTTTCACCCACTGGGTTGGATTTCATGAGCGTGTCAAACTCTTGCACTGAACCTTAATAGTTGATCTAGTAAACATGCGTTCTTGTCTAGGATTAGATTTTTACTGCACATTGAGAATCTGGACCTCTTTTCTCAGATTGGATGGACCTTTTTTTCTTTAAGATGGAGCCACTCTTCAAAAAAACCAAAATCTAAAGTTCAGCAGTGCAGAACCTGTGCTGAGTCTCCGGAGTGTTTCCTTCAGTCCTCTAACCGACAGAAAGGTTTCTCACCCGGAGGAAGAACTCGCGGGATTCAGCCACATTCTCGCTAACTTCTGGTCACAGTGCCTCGTTCACCGCGCGTACCTGTCCGAAAACGGCTCCCATTCACCTGCTAACAACTCACCACCATACCCGCCTCCTCCTGAACCCGTAACCCTGCTCCGTCTGTCCCTCGAGGAGACAGACGGCTGTGTTGTCCCCCGTCACATTACGCCTACGTACACCGAGCTGCCTCTGACTTCAACACAATGCATGGCTTTCTGTACGACTGCGACTCCACGTCGTATCGCCTTACTGTATGTAGCTAACATTGTCATTACTGTCCATGAAATCTGCTGAGGGTTAGGCTCGGCGAGCCAGGATGACATTCTTAACAAGCGTATCGTTGTGCCCAGTCCAGTCAGCAGCCTGACAGACGCCTCGCTAACAGCCTACTTGCTAAAACTCCCGAGTGTGTGTTCTGTTGAGTTTCCAGGTAATAGCCGTGTCAGTGTGTGATGGTGTTAGCAGACATATACGATGCCTGAACTTGGTGTGTGTGTGTGTGTGTGTGTGTGTGTTTAGAGGCAGAGGGTAGATCGGTAGCTCTGGAGCGAGCGAGCCTGGCTGGCAGTGCCAATGGCGTTTTTTGTTGTTGTTGGAACAGACGGCGCCGCCAGCCGAGCGTCTCCAGACTCACTAGCTGGCAATCTGTTGAAGAAGTGATTCCTTTTTTCTGAAAATATGATTTCTGATCCTGTTTCACGTACCTCCATTGTTCTGTGTTTTTTTATTTTAAAGTGTGTTTTGATTATTTCTTTTTTTTTTTTACTATATTGAATTCTATAACTGACTGTAATTCCAGTGTAAACGTGTAAGAGTGAAATGATGTCATTTCAATGAATTTGGAGAGTTAAATGTAAGAGGGGGGTCAAAATGAATGGTTTTATGTTTTGTACAGATTGATAAATTGTACAATTGTGTCTATATCTTAAGTTATCGGTTCATCTTAATAAAGCGCACCAGTCATAAACCTTTACACGAGCTTGTATTTTACTTGTTACATCATCTTGTTCAGTGGTTCCCAGCCTCAGGGTCACTAAAGCTTCACAGCTTGATTTTAAGGGTTGTTAGAAAACTCAAAACATATACACAGTAGGCCTATATGTCAACATTTCTGTCATTAAAGTTTTGATTATTATTTTATAAAGTTTGAAGACCTGAACTCAAGTTATATTTACAGAGCCATCACTCTCTGATGAACAGCCTCGTCCTGCATTATTAAATACAGGAGAACAAAAAAACTGAACTGAATTTGTCAAAAAATAAGCTTTTTAAGTCTGTTTGATTGTCAAAAAGTTTATCAGTTGTTCACTACTGTTATTATTAAAGCTTGAATATTTCGAAACATCTGTAAAATATGTCCCTTTTACTCAAAGAGAGAAATAGTCACCAGGCCTTTTTTTCAAGAAATACACACAATATATATCTCAGCATTAGGTTGAAGAAAAGTAAATTAAATTGTCTAATAGAACAACGGCCAAGCGTTAGGTACAAGGAAACACTGAATGTCAAAAAAGAAACCTATTAAGTCTGTGTGATTGTTAAAAATGATAAAATACATAATACAGAGGATTATATAAAAAGTTCTCTAAACAGGAAATAATCTGCTCAAAATGTATCCAAATCTCTCGTTTTATACAAACATCTTGCTCTTTCTGAGTTCATTTTTTAAAAGATATAGTACAGTTTTTAATATAATGTGAAATATCTGCACAATATGTCACAGAGTCAGTTGATAATGATAAAAAAAAGGGTCCCTGGAGGAAAAAGGTTGGGAGCTAGAGCGTTAGAAGACCTTTCTCATACAGGACATTTTGACACGTCACAGTAAAACGGTATAAATAATTAAATGAATTAGCTTCTTCAGTTTCAAGGTCCCGGTATTGTTCCTGCTCTCACACTGTTATGGTTTAAAGGAACTACTCACCCCCACTCCTACACACCTGTCCCAGGAAATAGATGTTTTTCTCTTACGGGAACACCTAACATCTGTCCTTTTCCTACTGTTACAAGTTAAAATATCTCTTACAAAAAGGTCTGTTGTCGTCTTACAGGCCCTGCGCACTTATCAGAGCTCGTCTGGTGGCTTCATGTGCATCGTTGCTCTGCTCTCCTTCCACCTGAGCAACCAAAACAGCTGCTAAACACCGGTGGGGTCTGCAGCGCTTTCAGGTGTTACACAACCTGACTGGCCAATCACACTTGAGGACATTATTCTGATTAATTAGCTAATTTAGTGGTGCTTTATCTGGTGGGTGCTGTACTTTGTAATTTGGTACTAATTAAAGAGAAACCAGAGATAGAGACAGTACACAAAGTACCCACTCATTAATTTGAGTCAATTATACAGCACACAGTTAATAGAGTTGGGTGGAATTTATAAGCTGTTGTTGATTTGAGGCATTTCTTTGCACAAACTGCTGCCAAAATGTTAATTAGGTCGGTCACTGATAAACAGTTTATTTTCTTCTGTGAATAGTTTTGTCCATAAAATGTACAGAAAGTGAAAAGTGGCCATCACTGTTTACTAAAACCATCTTTAAATGTCTTCTTTTGTCCAACCAACAGTCTAAAATCAGCAAATCTTCACATCTGATCAGCTGGAATCTGAGAATATTTGTCATTTTTGCTTCATAAATAACTGTAATATATAACTGTTTATCAAAAGTTTAGCCAATTAATATTCAGTCAAAATCATTTTAGGAACTAACTGATAAATTGTGTTTCAGCTCTGATAACAAACTGATAATTTCACACATTATCTCTAATTTCCCTACAATTAGTAAATCAAGTGTTCCCATTAACATGTTTATATTTGCTAATTATTGCTCAACAGACAGTACAGCTGAGGCTGATGGGAATGTCATTAGTTGTGCAGATATTTGGTCATAAACCAAAGAAAAAAGACCTGATGATGGTGTAAATGTACCTTTACTCTGGGTTCATAAGGAGCTAACAGTAATACACTGTAATCACCAGAAATCAAAGTTCACAGACAACAAGGTGAGTTGCAAAATGTAATGTTCAGTAACTTAAATTTGTGGGCGATAATTCACACCATTTGAATACAAAATTGCTACTCTGCCATTTCCTCGATTAGTTTTGTGGAATAAATCTTTGAAGAAAACTTCACTCAGGTTCCAGATTGAAGAAAATAATCTTTACTTAAGCTTCAGAAGAATACAGATGGTTATGATGAGCATTTATGCAGCATGAAGAGAAACACACATCCGGGTTGTATCAGTACTTCTCACACGAGTCTGTCTGAGCCGATTTACAGAGGTTAAAACACATCTGGGCTCTGCTCACAAAGGAACAAAAGGTTTCACTCACCAGGACCCGTTAATGTAAAATAGATTGACTCATTACAGAGCTCACTGTCATGTTAAAAAGCAGTGACAGGAAACACAATATCAGGATAAGATACAAATGAAAGTGTTTAGATAATACATTTTTCTTCTGCAGTGTGTTAGTGGAACTCTTCGTGATCCAAACCGACCAGACTGGAGCCCCAGAACAGGCTAAATGTGTGTGGATTCAGTATTTTATTCTAATGTTTTTTACTGCTTCTGGTATGAAAACATATTCGCAGTATTTTCACATTTCTGTGTGGTTGATTCGCCTCGCCCCCCCTGCTGTGTAAAGGCCTCTGACGTCTGTGACCCTTTCACAATGTGTGTATCACCACCCTGGGAGGGTCGCCATCAACAGCAGGAGAACTTCAAAAGTAACTTCTCTCCCTTTATTATCTGTATTTTGATCATATTGTAGCACAACTGAGAAGCTCAATTTCAAATATATATTTAAAGCTGCTCAGTGTTTTCATGATATCAGCATTGACGAAATGTGGGAACAAATGGGAAATCTTTTATTTAGAATTTAGAAACCATGTAATAAATTAACACAATGGGCTGAGATCGACTGTTACACGTTGTGAATAGTTAAACGTATTATTGAATACAATGCTACAAAAGATTAATTTTAATTTGAAGAATTAAGTTTAATTTATAGGGCTGTGTGCTGGCAAGAATCTTACGATATGTATTGTGATACTGGGGTTACGATATATTATCAATATATTGCAATTTTAAAAAATATATAGTGAAATTGTGAAAGTCACAACATGCATAAAATCTGAGTAAAAAAATCTTTTAATGCAACCAGAGCAGTGGGATATGCATTTGTATTCATTCCAGTCCTTGTTAAAGCTGCTTATTTAGCATTTATTTAAAGCTTTATAACTATTACATAATAATCAATTATTATTATTACCATTAGGAGCACTATGAGGAGCCAGAAGAACCTAATTTTTTCACAGATTATCATGTTCTACTGTCAGGATGTATTAAAAGTTTTAGAAAAAAGTGACTTACTGCAGCTTTAACGTCAAACATCAGAGCCTTCAATTTACAGTGCTGTTATCTAACAGTTCGGGGTTTAAACACATAAATGAATTGTGTTTTTGCTAATCAAAACAATATTGAAAAAATATTTTTTGTTATTTTCTTACACCCCTATTAATTCAACCATCTTATAACAGTTTAATAAATAATAATTAGCGTTAATGTTAGCTGAATTGTGTTAAATTACTATTTCAGTATCTTTAGCTTCACAAACAAATAAGCTTACTGCTTTAATGCAATGTCAACAATAAACAACTACAGCGCTGTGTCACTACATTTTCACAACAACTCAATAAACATACAAACAACGCAGCACACAGCTAGCAACGTTAGCATTAGTCTCTCCGTAGGTTTCCTTCTTGGCCTGTAGATACATTAAGTTAAAACAACTTTTTAAAGCTAAATTAAGTGTTAAGTTAATCTTTTATTGTCGCCATATTCTCTCTGTGTCCCAATGCGCAGGTGCGTAGTCAGCTGTCAATCAAGTTCAGCTAGAGGCGGGACTTAAGCAGACTAGCAGTATCTGATCAATCTCTGCTGATCAATAATGGTAACCAAGGTTGGGAGGGTTACTTTAAGAATGTAATCTGATACAGTTACTAATCACCTGTTAAAAAATGTAATCAGTAACCTAATCCAAGTATCACATTTTTCAACAGGTCATTAGTAACTGTATCGGATTAAAGTAACCCTCCCAACCTGCTTTTGGATCACCTCAATAAATCAAGTTAATTTAATTAATCAGTAATTACAATCATCGCTCTAGAGAGCACGTTCCCTAAAAAGTAAGATCGGAGTCGTTCCCACGTTGACAGGAAGGAACTTTAATACGTTACCTCATCCATGAACAAAAAAAGAGCTGCTGTGTAATGAGACACGACGCCACTCTCCTGAGCTATGACAACTTTATTGAGTCTGAAACAAAAAGACCAACAAGCAGCACTTGATACATCTACTGGAGCTGAAACTATTATTTGGATCGAAGCTGAAGAAAAGTCAGAGCAAATGGAACAAAAGTAGGGAACCAAGTACATGGGGGAAAACAGCTGTTTTACATCTGATTGTCAACATGTCCTGTTATTGCTGTTTGCCAAGATATAATTAACACAACTGACCTGTGTGTCATTAAAACATTAAAACAGGATTTCATACATTACGGCTCTATTTCATCTGTAATGTCAGAAATAGTTGCAAGTATTGAAATCTGAGATGGTCATTGGCCTTTTTATGGAAAATGCTTCCACTTTAGACCTCGCTGCAACAATTACATCAGTGCATTAGAGCTGAAAACATGAGCCAATTCATCAATAGGCATCTATTCTGATAACTGATTAAAGGTCCAGTGTGTAACATTGAGGAGGATCTATTGTCAGAAATAGAAAAGTAATGGGTATGTTTTCATTAGTGTTTAATCACCTGAATATAATAATCACTGTGTGTTTGTTACCTTAGAATGAGACGAGTTTATCTACAGAGGGAACGGGTCCTCATCTACAGAGTCCGCCATGTTCCTACGGCAGCCCAGAACGGACAAAACAAACTGACTCCTTCGTACTTGGACGGCGAAAGTGAAGGTGCAATCTGCAACTACACCACTAGATGCCACTAAATCCTACACATTGGTCCTTTAACATCTTTGTTGTAGTCCTTTTGAGATTCTTGTGGTCTTATTTTAAACTTGTACAAATGTGTAGCCATTACACATCAAATACATTTTTTCAACTTTTCGTCAACTAAAATGTTTAGATGGTGGCTTTTCCTCTATAGTTTGCCGGACTTCAATGGCAATGGCTACTAGTCTTGTGTCTCCCTATCTAGGCTAGCTATGGATTAAAATTATTAATAATAATAATAATAATAATAATAATAATAATAATAATAATTCTCTATTTACGTGGACAGATTTGTTTGCTTTCACCAACAACGCTGCTGACATGCTCTCCCTTAAATTCCATGTTCTGAAATCTACAACATAAACCAATTCACTTTTATGTTTCATTAATTAACAAAAAATCCATCTAAACAGCATTTTACTGACTAAGATTAATATTAGATTGTAATGTGGATGGAATAATGGAATTAAACATGACTTTTCTTTGTTTTGATATATATAATTCTTGGACAAAAATGGCTCTTTCTTTATAGTAAAGGTCGCTGACTTCTGTCTACATGCTACATTGGAAGGCGAGGGGTATTCAGTTGGTTGCAATCTGCAACCTCACAGCTAGATGCCACTAAATCGTACACACTGGACCTTTCAGTCAGTGGTTCCCAACCTTCTTCCTTCAGGGACGTCTTTTCTATCATTTACTGACGTATTTTATGGATATTTCATATTATATTAAAAACTGTACAATGAACCTGAATAAGGAACTCAGTAACTGAACAAATTTGTGTAAAAATAGTGATATGGGTGAAGTTTAAGCAGATTATTTCCATTGTAGATTGTTTAGGGAACTTTTTATACAATCTTCTCTCTGTATTATGTATTTTTTTAAATTATTTTTAACAATCATACAAGCACATAAGCTTCCTTTTTGACAAATTCAGTGTTTTCTTGTTCTTGCCATTGTTCTATTAGACAATTTAATTTACTTTAATTTACTTTTTTTACTGAAGTTTTCTTACACGCTTTAAAATCAAAAAGTCCTCGTGACCCCGAGGTTGGGAACCACTGCTCTGACAGGCAAAAATGTCTTTTAAATAATTTTTCACTACTTTGTGACATTTTATCAGCCAAACTATGAATCAATTAATTGAAAAAACAATCAGGTTAATCAGTAATGATTGGAGACTGGAGTTAATCCCATGTTGACACAGTCAGTTGACAATAATCAGTTTGCACCAAAGAACATAATAAGGGTATTCCTGGCTAACTATTATATCTTGAATAATCTTTGGCATGCATGTGTATTAAGCTTGACACAACAAAAGAGAACCACAATAATAATCACTAGTGTACAGTATGTGTACAGCCAATACACCACTCTGTCTACAGTACATACAAAAAGATAACTTTACAAAGAGAAAATATGGATCCCCGGCAGGATCTTTAAATATGTAAACAGGAAATAAGAAACGATGTGTAAAAATACCAGAACTATACAGGTGTAAATCTGACCAGACTGCAGTTTGTGTGCATTTATTCACAGATTGTCCCTTTTTTTGGGGAGTTTATCAGAGTAATGAGCACCTTTTCTCCGGAGCTACAGGCCATAATGCCCATCTTCTTTGTACAAGTTCGGTAGATCCACATAATCCAGGTGTGAAGTGGACCTCAGTCTTGTCTTTGGATCGCATTTTTCAGTTACAGAAATTTAAATCAGTTACGTTGTTTTTCCACTCGTCCTCGACTTTCCATCTTCTCTCCCAGGACGTATAAAAAAAAAGACAAAGAGATCCGCATACCAAGAAAAAAAAATACTTGTGTGCATACGTACGTGTATATTCCCTCCATTGACACTTTGTTGATGAGGGGGAATTTACAATACAACACAAATATGTAGTATTGACTGGCACAAAAACAGTTTGGATATAATACAGTGATAAAATATCAAACAGCAGTGCAACAGTCGGAGCACTGCAAGAAGGAGATTCTCCCCTCTTTCACAATAAATAAATAAATAAATATAATTCCAACAAAACATGTCCTTATGTCCTTTCTACTCTGAATGTGCGCTCAGTGTAACAACCAAAAAAAAACGTATTCACAATTTCCTGATTCTGAGTGAACTGGGAGCACTGGTCCAGTGTCCAGTCTGGGTGCTGGGTGAGGCTGTGGGGGTCTAGAGCAGCGAGCTGGTGGGGCTGCCGGGCAGCGGGGGGCTGTGGCTGTGAGAGGGGCTCGGGCGCACGGGCAGCAGGTCGTAGTGGCTGGGGATGTGGCTGTTCCTGGGAAGGTCGTACGGGTTCTGAGGGTAACTGGGAACCACCATGCCGCCGGCTCCCTGGACGATACTGATGGTCGGTTCTGGGAGGAAGAAAGGAGAGGAACATATTCAAGTAGTGCTGAAATGATTTAGTTCATTGATCAGGGAAAATAGGAGACACGAGTTAAAGCTTCCATATGTTAAATTCTGAAGCGTTTTACATGTTATTTTTTATTTATGAATCACTTTTTATTGCAAATGTATGGATCGTAACTTAACTTAAAAAATTACACCTTCCCCGACTTCCTCAATTGCCTGTGGGCTGGTTTACACAGATAATGTACTTTTAACAAGTACTAAATGAGTAAAATGTGTCAATATCTATAATTATATTGTAAATATAGAAACTTTTATTTAAAAAAAGTATATAACTTAAATAGTTCTCTTACTCTCAAAAACATTGTTCTAAATCTAAATTCTGTATATATTTTATTATTTTTCAACGCAACTTCCAATCAACCAATATCAATTAGTTAAATTAATCCATTCCGCCACGCCCATTCTGAGTACGGATACGAATACCGATAATTGTCGTATGTAATGTCCGGCTGTGTCTTGGCTGCTCACTGTGGGCTGATTTGTAAACGGCGAGCTAGTTAG